ACACACACACACACACACACACACACACACACACACACACACACACATCTGTAACAGAAGGCACATTAGGTGCTGGGGGTGGTGGGATAGGTCTGCAACCCCAGCACTAGAAAGGGAGAAGCAGGCGCATTGCCTAGTCTACATAGTTACAAAACAGCAAGGCCTACACAGTGAGACCCTCTCTCTCTAAAAAATGAACAACAACAACAACAAAATCCAGCATACATACCCGGACACACAAAGGTACATATGTAAACATACTTATGAGACAATTACGAATGTAAAAGGTGAAAAAAAAAAAAAAGGGAAGTAAGTTGATCTGGGGAGATACTAGTTTTGGTCACCTGATTAGAAGTATTGTAATGTTAAGATCTACTTCTTCTTTTAGCACAGAGAATCTAAAGAAGAATTTGTTAAAGTCAGGAAGAGGGACCTGGATCGGCTGACGACGGAAGTAATGCAAATGCGGGACTTCTTACCCAGAATATTAAATGGGGAGTTACTGGAAAGTTTCCAGAAATTAAAGACTGTAGAAAAAAGTGAGTTTTGCCTTATGTATGTTGCTTGTCTTTAGGTGGGCAGGAGAGTCATTTTGCAGTGTTGAGCTAAGTACAGGATTGCTAGGACTTGTCCATTAAGACTTTTGACATTTGAGCAGTATGTTGTTTTGAACAAAATCTCAATCCTGTTTTACCAATGAAGACTCAGTAGCCAGATGCTGGGGTGAAGGCCTCCTAGCTCAGAGAGGCAGAGAAAGCACCCAGCTGACCTTCCTCCTCAGCCAATGTCACAGAAGGAATCTCTTCTTCTCTCAACCTCCTCTAAACTGAATATCCTTCTCTTCTACTTCCTGTGCATCTCTTTATCTGTCCTCCTGACTCCCTTTTACTCTCTCTCTATTTTTTCATATTATCCTCTGTTCACTTTCTGTCAACTGGTTGCTTGCTCTGCCTCTTGACCTGTGGTTGACTTTATTTAATCCTGTTTATACCATTCAAACAGAAAGCTTTTGGTTTAAAGGTGTGTGCTAAGCCTGAGCCACACCAAAAATAAAAGCAGGTTTTTCCAGTAAATAACACAATACCGGGGTTCACAGTGTGATCATGTATCTTGCAATAGAAGTATATAAAATACTAGTCCAGGACCCTGTTAAATTTCTTGGAGGTATTTGGAGACTGAGTCAGTACTTCCCCAATTGGGACAGAATTGTAATTAAGTTGACCTTTGCTGGTTAAGGCTAATTTCTCAAGTCAAATTTGACTGTCAGCTCTCATAGTGTGGCTTCATAGTACCCACTGAAAGACCCAAGTGATGTTTCTAGCAGTAAGTCCAGATAAGGAACTATCTTGACTCAAGAATGTAGGTTTCTGAGGCAGACTTGGTGATGTATACCTGAAATCCAGTACTCAGGTGATGGAGGTATAAAGTGTAAGTTCAAGGTCATTTTCATCTATGTATGGAGTTCAAGCCTAGCTGGTAAGATGTGAAATCAGCAATATAGTAGTCTTCATAGAGGTGAAGGACAACCAGGTCGCCTATGGATTAAGCCATATTCAGAATATGGGTTTCTAGTTTGTGTAAATATACCTGGCCAGTGAGCCAACCCTATCTATTTAGAAGGGTGAATGGGCGGTTGGAGAGATGGCTCAGCAGTTAGGAGCACTGGTTGCTTTCCCAGAGGACCTGGGTTCAATTTGCAGCACCTGCATGGCAGCTCACAACTGTCTGTACTCTAGTTCCAGGGGATCTGACACCCTCACACAGACATACATGCAGGCCAAACACCAGTGCATATAGAATTAAAAGCAAATAATTTTTAAAGATAGAGGGTGAATGGTCATGATTACATGATACCCTGCCTTATTCTTTCAGGAGTCTTCACATCCATTAACTTCTATGCCCTGTACTCTTTTTCTGGGAGGTGGACCCCGTGCAGACTGAAGTTGGCAGGGCTGGTCAAAAGAGGCTTCCTGAGCAAAGAGAGAGGGAGAGGATGGGAGGGGTGCTGGCCTGCCATCTGCCCCTGCCTTGTTCCTCTGGTGGTTACATTCCTCAACAACAAGTACCTCCTCCCAGTGGCTTCCTCTACAGTCTACCTCTTACTGGGCTTCAGTGATACCACTGTCTCCCAGAGCTACAGGGCTGTTGTCATTGCCTGGGAATGTCACCATTCTTTCTGGGTGCCTTATGCCTCCTCCCCCAGGGCATTGCCTCCCAAGTGCTGGCAAGGTGGAGCTTTGTGTAAAGAGGCAGGTAGAGTATGAATGTAAAGTGCACCCAGTCTTGTTCACGTGTAAACAGTGAAGTTCAAATAAATGCAGAACACTGTTTAGACATACCTTACCCACAGTTTTGAGGCTAACAGGAAGTCAGGCTGTTTCTTTGTGTTACTGTAGCTCTTTAGGCCAGGTCACATTTTTCCTTCTGATAGTGGGGAGTGTTCAAAATGAATTTGGCAAATAAGTAATGAACAGTCACTCCAAGAAAGGGACATTGTGACCCTTTCCAGTTAATGGGAGACACTCTCTTTTCTGTTTGCTTGGCAGCCAGCTCTATCTGTGCCCACTGTTATAGCCTGACAAATGACAGGTCATATTTTCACTTGGCAAGGTCATTTTTACTTTGTTCTGTTTAATAATGATTCCCTTGGGCTTTTTCTCACTGACCTGATTTGGTCTCCTCAAAGAACAAACCCTAGAACAAACACCTTGGAGTTCTCACTTTCTCCAGTGAGTTATGTTCATTGTTCTTAGAGATGCATTATTGCTCTGTTAGTCCATCTTCACCTCTACTGTTTTGGTGGGATCTTTGTACTTGCCTCCTCTAGGCAGTGTCTACTGTTCCAAGTCTGGTCATTTTTGTCTGATTCTGTCATGCTGTTCAGGTTAAGATATTAAAATAGCTGCTCCCTGTCCTCAAGATAAACACCAACTAGCAAACTGCTGCTATGCCAGGACCTAAACAGACCTTACTATGGCTGTGAAGCCTTAGTATTGCTAGGTAAGCCTTGTCCAGAGGGGCTGTCTGCTCTGACTGTGCAGACATGAGCTCTGTATCAGGCATGACCCCTGTCCTTTTCCTCCTAAGCTCACTAGTCAGGCTTACCCTGACTACCTGTGCTTTTCTGACTGGGCATCGTTGAAGAGATGGTCTTCTAAAGTATCCTTTATCTAGTTTTCACTCTTGAATTATCTTTCTTTTTTAGAGACAGGTCTCACTTGGTAGCCCTGGCTGTCCTGGGATTCTCTGTGTAGATCAGGCTGGCCTTTCACTTACAGAAATCACCTGCTTCTGCCTCCTGAGTGCCTGAGTTGATAAGATGAGTATCAGATAGAATGTGGAACCTGGTTCTGAGCTAGCAAGACACCTGCCTTTGAGATGCTGGGTAGGTAAGCAGTGGTATGGAGTAACATTGATCAGTGTCTTGTTAAGCGTCTTTGAGAATTAACATTGAAGAAAAAGCACATTAAAAAAAACCTTGCGATTTTATGTGTATGAGTGTTTTGGCTGTATGCACGTGTGTGTACCACCTTGTGTGCCATGCCTGAGGAAATTAGAAGAGTTTGTTGGATCCTCTGTTACTGGATTTACAGACAGTTGTTAACTGCCATATTGAACCCAGGTCCTCTGAAAGAGCAGCCAGTGCTCTTAACTGAGCTATCTCTCTATTTTCCCCAAAAGCACAATTTCATTTTTAGAAGGAAAAGGAGAGATGTGTGAAAGTCACAAATGGGAGTAAGGGTCATTTTTGGATTCATCAGATGGTTTTCCTGTTCGTGAAGGACTTGGGCATGGCCGAGCTAAGGATAGTAAAGGTGGGATGTTTATAGAGGATGGGAGGAGGTTTAGTTGAGGTAAGAAGCACTTGGAACTTCTCAGGTGAGTTTGAAGGGTTGGCAGGATGGAGGAGAATAATGAGGATGTCCCTCAGGGCAAGTGGTGGCTCCACTGAACTCTGACTGTATGGATGGAATAGTAGTAACATAAAAAAGCATGCTAGGTTCTGGTGATGAAGGGAGGACACAGCCTTTTAAGTTAGGGTCAAGAATAGTGGGAGTATCGAGGGATGGAATATCTGGGTCCTGCATGCTGCTGGCCTTTCGTTGTTCCTGGAACTATAAAGCACTCATATAAGGCCATTAGAACACTTGCCTGGTTACATGCAGGGCCCCGAGTAAGATCCCCAGGACTGCCAGACCTTACTATGGCTGTGAAGCCTTAATATTGCTAGGTAAGCCTTGTCCAGAGGAGCTGTCTGCTCTGACTGTGCAGACATGAGCTCTGTATCAGGCATGACCCCTGTCCTTTTCCTCCTAAGCTCAGGCTTACCCTGACTACCGGGAGTAAGATCCCAGACTCCCAGGATGTGGCAAGTTTGAGATGACCTAATCATTCTCAAGGGTTTGTATGGTTCCTGTATTGTAGGAATCTGGGAGAAAGAATATTTTCTAGCTGGGAAGCTTCTTGAGTTCCTGGTGTAATCGAGAGAGCATTCTGGTAGATTCACAGCCCAGCAGCTTCAGTTGTGGCTCAGGCACGATCATGCAGTGAACTTGGAATAACCTTGACTTGAGCTTTACCAAGTTGGAAAGTGCGTAAATATAAAACACTCCCACGAAAACATTATCAGCGCTCTTCGGTATGGAGCACTGGAGGAAGGTCCTCGTAAAGGAAGAGTCTTGCACAGTTGTTGCTTATCACAGTTGTTGATATCTCAGTTGAGAGTCAGGCAGAAGGAGGGCACTGTGGGGCTTTCAGTTATCATCTGAGACCATCCAGCTAATAACAGGCCGGAGTCCATGACTGAAATATTCTATGATTTTCTGCCTCTAGTGAGGACTGAAAAGGGTTAGCTGCTAGCAACTGAGTCCTGGGCAGAGCCAGCCTCAAGGAGCAGAGCCTTAAGAGGGTAAAGAGCTTGTTTGGCAGTTTCAGCAGGGGAGCACGGCTAGTTGTATGTCCTTGGCTGAAGAATGGCCCTAATTAATCAGAGAAGGCTGTCTTATTCAACTGGATATTTAGTTTAGGAAGGCATGCACACAGAATGGTGAGGAAGGATATTCTTGCCTAGCCAGCCAGATAAACCTTAAGGAGAGTGGGGTGAAATGCCAAAGCCAGATTGCACTTACACCCAAGACTCTTGTGACTTGAAATGGGACAGGATGATTGGGGTTTTTAGATACTACTAGAACATCTTGTGAGATTTAGGATCTTGATCCGTGAGGGCCCTCTACTGGTTACTTAAAGGAATCCACAAGGACACGAGAAAATGAAAAACAATGACAGTATAACAGGAAGTATGTCACAGACACCATATAACCAGAAAAAGGCCACCAGAATCCCTAGGGGGTAGGATAGGGGAAGCCAAGGCAGCTTTATGAAGGAGTATACTCAGGAGACAGTTAAAGGACATTCTAGAAGTAGTTTATTCAAGAGCTATGGGACAGCATTTAGTATGGTAGGCAAATGGATTTCAGTTTAGCATGTTGGAAAATACAGATTGTGCACTGTGTCTCTGCTCACTCTGACAATGAATTTG